ACTTTATCTTGCTTCTTTGTGTGGACTGTGATGGTCTGTTGTTTCTGAGGCATCATGGCATTGGATTTATATCCCTGTTAACTGTTTGTGATGAGTAGCCAAGGGTGATTCAGGCTCTTCTTGGTGGTTTTTTATTGTTGGTCCATTGGTGTAGAAGGAGGTAGTGGCTCTCACTCAGTAAGTGAAGTTGCAGGAGATGTGGGTGTAGTTGTGTCTTTTGGGGATTGTTATTGTCTCCCACTCAGATAGACACAAATTACAATTGAATAACTATCAAAAAACTAAAAGCCCATGGATAAAAAACACACCATGTAAACACACAGGAACAGTAACCAAAAAAAGAAAAAAGGGGAAAAAAAAAAAGAAGAAAAAACAAGGAAACCTGCAATATCTGGGGATAGGGCACTAAGAAAAAAAAAAGTAGAGAAGGAGAATAATAAATTTAAAAAAATGGGAAAAATACAAAAAGAAAATCAAGGAACAGGGTTAGCCATGAGAAAAAAGGGGGAAAAAGAGAAAAAAAATAATAAATTTCAACCAGGCACAGGAAAAAGAAAAAATGCTGAAAACTGGGACCTGGGAAGGGGAAAATTAAGAAGAATAATAAAAAGGACAAAAGTATTAATAATATTAGTTGTTTTAAACAGACTAATACAAGCAAACTATTCACCAGAGAAAAGAAAGCAAAAAAGAAAAAAATAAAAATAAAAAAAGAGAAAAAAAAAATTGGTGGAGGACAGAGCAGGGCATTCAGGCTCCGTCTGAACACACAGACTGTATTGGAGTTCCTGTGGGCCCAGAGGGTAGGTGGGAGTGGGAGATGGCCGCACCTCCATTCACCAAGCCGGTATAGGGTATAAGAATAACAAAAGGAATGTTGTACCTTGTCAGTCTTGCAGGTCCCGAGTGTCCTTGGAGTTGCTGGAAAGCAGAATGTGTTCTTAAGCCCCAGGAATCTGTGAGAGCGCTGTCTCTTTAAATATCCAAAATAGTCAAGCCAGTTTTTAAACCTTCAAAATGACGGTGTCCTCTGGACCGGCAATAGTCCACAGCTCAGCCCACCTTTCTCTTCACCTTCTCCGTTTGTTCCCCAGCCACCATGCACAGTCCTCCATGCAGTTCCTGGCTAGTAGGGTGATTTTTAGGTTAATTCTTAGGTCCTACCAGCACTCGGGAATCTCCAAGCTGTCTGTGCCATCAGGATCGCTCAGGATCGCTGTCAGACCACAGCTCCGTGTGTCTCCTTTTTTGGCATTTTCATGCAAATTCTTCTGCTAGTTGGGGGTTTAGTCCACTTCTATATCCTTCCCTTCAAGGCTCAGGGGTCCAGAATTATCTTCTGTTTCTGTGTTAATTGGTTTCCCTTTTCTTTGTTGAAGAGGGTCTGTGCAGTCTTTCTGCCTAGTCTGCTATCTTGCCACAACCCTCTTCAGTTCTACTCTTATGCCCTTTTAATATGTTACTTATTTCTGAAATCTTAGTATTAATCTTCTGCATTTCTTTTTTTGTTTTTTTATGGCTTGTAATTTTTCATTTCTTTGTCAGTTTGTTATTGTATTGTTTTCCTAAGTTGTTCTAGAGTTGTCTCAGTGTTTTCCTTAATTTTGTGAGTGTTTTTCTTGATCTGTCTCCCAGTCCATTGAAGGTACCTAAATATAATTCTTTTGAATTCCTTATCAGGTAGTTCCAATGCTTCTTCTTCTTCAGGTAGGTTTTCTGGGTTGTATCTTGGTCCCTTGTTTGTACTACTTTATCTTGCTACTTTGAGTGAACTGGGATGGTCATTTGCCTCCAAGACATTTTGCTGTCATTGTATTTATATTTAATTGGTGATTGTTTATTGGTGTGATTCACCCGGGTTTTTTTTTCCTTCCTGAAATGAGGCTTTTTTTGGGTCTGAATGAGAAGTGAAAATTCAAACAAAACAGAAAGAAAGGCCTGGGATGGGTGACAGGCTGTGTTAATTCCCAAGGTTGGCCTAGGAGGTGGCCAGAACTAGACATGAGGGATGCGAGTGGGTGGGAGTTGGGGCAGGCAAGAGGCCCAGGTCAGGGAGTTCTTTTCCAAGGTTTGCTCAGGTTCAGCCTTGTCCTTTTCTGTCAACTTAGAGCTGTCTTTGGTGGGGATCTTGAAGCTGATGCTGGATGGTGAGCTAAGGATTGATGAAGAGGAGATGTAGCTATAGTAGGATTTGGAGGCAATGATGCTGTTTATCTCTCAGCAGAGAGTGTTGCAAACCTTCACTGTAAGGGGCCACAGGAAGCATATGAGGATGTAGAGGACCACAAGGCCCACAAATATGCTGACTGACACCATGAAGAAGAAAAGGGAGTGTTTGGCATTGAGTGGGATTCCATGATGTGCAGCAGGAAGATGGGCTGGTAGTCACAGTATGTGCTCTTGTCCACACCTCTGGTGGGGGATGGGTCCAGGATAGGGGAATAGCATGGCACCCTATGAGGATCTTCCAGGCCCTACCAGAGTCCCCTGCCTGGCTCACCTATTACTTACCAACACTCGATCCCCACACTCAGGTCAGACTTGATGATATTGAAGGGGTTGTCCTCCATGGTCAGCCTGGTTTCCAAGGCTATCCTTTCCCCCTTGGTTATCCTGTTCCCTGTGGTCGTCCTGTTTTTCATGGCCCAGATGAGGCTGTTAATTCTTTGCAGGCCTCAGTGACTTCAGTGAGGGTAGGGTCTTGGCTCTGAAGGCTGCCTTGAAAACTGCTGGATTCTCCCGTCACCAGATCTTGGACCAAGAGGAAAGGGTTGAAGACTTCAGGGATATGGTAGTTAAGTTTGTCTGTCAGCTTGGCTGGGCCTGGTTGAGTGGCTGGGGAGCTGGATATAGTTATTCCCCATGGTAAGATTGGTAATTAACTCCGTGGTGGAATCTATTGGAGCAGCTGAGTAGCTGCTTTAGGGATGTGGTCTGCTTCTTGTATATAAGATGCAGCTTTGGAAATGGTCTCTAGCTTTTTGACATGCTTGAATCCTGGATATAGCCAAGTTGTTGATTAGCAGCCTGCCATACCCTGCTGATCTTGGGACTTTATCTGGACTTGAATTAGTGGCCTGTCATGTTGTCTGGTGGTACGGGGACTGTGCCGTTTCTCTTGTCAACCTTGGGTTTGTCAGCTTCAGCAGCCAGTAGCTGCCAGAGTGAAGAAAAGCCTCCAGCTTCAATGGGCCAGGAGCAAGAGGCTGAGCTGAAGCCCAAGGTCGAGGGGCTTTTGCCCAGCCCCTAAAGTCTGGTACTTTGAACTCAGACTTCTAGCCTCTCAAACTGTAGGAGAATAAACTCCTGTTTCTACACACCATCCTATTTGTGGCATCTTCTGTTAAAGTGGCACTAGGTAACCAAAACAAGGGAATTGGAGGGGTTTCAAACAGGAGGCGAAGAAATTAGCTTGGCTGGAAAGGTGAAGGACAGGGAAGAAGGAGAGAGATGGGCTGGAAAAGAAAGTGGTATTCAACTATGGGAAAGGCAAAGATGCTGGTCAGGGCAGGAAAGGAAGCAAGGAGGTGAAGGATGTCAGCAGAAGAGAAGGGGAGGAGGGGTGGATGGTGGGAAAGGGTTGGGAGATAGGAGAGGAGGGAATGGAAAAATGATGGAGAGTTAGGGGAGAAACAGAAGCGAGGACAGATGCTTTATTTTGGTTTGATATATCTGAGTAAGCAGGGTTGGTGTCCTACTCTGTTCTCTAGTCTGGCAGCACTTAGGCACTCACCACCTGTCTCCTCGTGGGTGTGATAAAGGATCAGAATATGTGCACAAATCTCTGTTAGCTATTTGTGTAGAGCAGTTGAGACCTAGGTGGGCTGGTATTAGCCGCAGTCTATCATTGATCAGTTAGTGCAAAAGGAGGTGGTGGCCCTTGCCCAGTGGGCAGGCTTTAGGACATGCAGGCATGGTTGTGTCATGTAGGCACAGTTGTTGTCTCCCACCTGGTTGGACAATAACCACAAGGACACCAAAAAACCAAACGAACAAAAAAATAAAAATGAGAACAAAAAACATAAACCATACAACAATCAACAACAACCACATACACACAAAAAAAATCAGCAATATCTAGTGAAGGAGGAATAAGAGAAGAGAACAAGAGAAAATGAATAATAAAGAAAAAAAAAGGGATGAGAAGAACAAAAAGAGAAAAAGAAGAAGAGAAAGAAAAAAGGGAACCAGGAAAAAGGAAACAAAATAAGAACCAGAGATGGAAAAGAGAAAAAAAATAGAAAGAAAGAAGGAAGAAAAAAATGAATAATTTAAAAACAAACAAACCAGCAAACACAAAACCGGGGGAGCAGGACACCCGGGCTATGTTTTTCCTGGCCAAGCAGACAACAGAGAACAGGGCACCTGGTTCTGGTACTAGTTCCTGCCTGTTCAGAAGGCAGCTGTTGGCAGGTATCTGGACCAGGATGGAATTCCTGCAGGCCCAGAAGGTGGGTGGGGATAGGGGATGGCCACACTTCCATTCACCAAGAGGGTGTGGGGTACAACGGGAACAAGGGGAATATTGTACCTTTCTAGTTGTCAGCCACCAGTGTTGTTGCCTGTGCATACAGTCCTTGGCAAATGGAGCCAATTCATAGGTTTCTGCTTGGAATGGAATACCATTTGCAAATATTCAGAATGGTCACACCATCAGGACAGTTGATAGTCTATAGCTCTGTTTGTCTCCTTATTCAGGTTCTTCTACTAGTTGCTATTTAATCTACTACTTCATCCTCCCTTAGAAGCTCAGGCCTCCAGGGTTATCTCCTGTATTTGTTTTAATTGCTTTCTTGTTTCTTTGTTGTAGAGGGTCTGTGTAACTTCTCTGCCTATTCCACCTTCTTGCTGGAAGTATCCTCTTCTCCCCATTTATTCTTTCAATTTTTTAACAGTCCACTAGTGTGAAGTAATCCTCAGGGTTTCTGTGTTTTCTCTTTATACAGCAGCAAGCAAAATAGCATGAGAAGACTTCCCACTTCCCAGTTTCATTTCTTAGAGATTATACATTTCCTATGCTTAACTGACAATCACATAGATAACTGCATCTTAATACATTCTTGTTCACATGTGTCAGATGTGAATTGGCCTCAGCCAGTTCTGTTTAGGTTATTTGTGGTAGTGTGTCAGTAGTTCCTAGTTTTCTTGTGTTCAAGCTTTAGCATCTATTAGAATTACTTGGAAGACTTGTTCAAACACAAATTGCTAGAACACAACTCCAGTTTCCAATTCAGTAGGTCTAGGATGGGGCTCATGATTTGCACTTTTAGCATTGCTTTGTTGATGGCTCAGGGACAAATCTTTGAAAATGACTGCTCTACAATATTTTAGACAGCTAAAAAGTCTTGACTATCACTTATTTTCACTAATGTGAACTATTTTTTATTCATTAGGATGAATAAAAGCCACTAATTTCACCGATGAAAACTTATCATACATTTATTATGATAATTAGTAAAGCCTTTATTATTGTTGGGAGATAAAGATACTTGAAGTAGCTGATTCCAAGCTCTCCCTATCACCAGGTTGGATGTAAATCCATTTTCAGTTATAATTAAGCCCTTTCTCCAGGATCATTTCAGAATTGGGATATTTCACCTTGAAACTTGAGGTCATCATATCTCCAGTCCATCATGGCAATGAACCATTTGTAGTATTTATTACATAGCTTTACAATGATCTAAATATTCCTGTTTATTTGCTTATTTTTTTTAAACTATGCAGTGAGTTTCTCTAAGAGAGAAATCCCATTTTATTTAATTTTGTATGATAGCATGGAGCACAGTGCCTAAGGCATTTGACTGGTAACCAGAAGGCTGGCAGTTCAAACCCACCAGCCACTCCTCAGAAGGAAGATTGGGCCATCTGCTTCCATAGAGACACAGCCTCGGAAACCCAAACCCAAGGGATCACTGTGAGTCGGAAACAACTCCATGGCAGTGAGCTTTTTTTTTTTTGAGCATGGAGTCTAGTGTCTTGTACATAGTAGGTACTCTATTAAATGTTTGGGGACTGATTCTTTGTTGCCCAGATGATACAACTAATGAGTTGCAAAAAAAGTATACCCACTCTTAAAACGTCTTTCACATCATGATTTCCCTATGGAGAAGAAAACTGGCAGAATTTATTATAATCCTGTCAGCTCGTTTCCTTTAGCCACACCACTGATTTATGTTCCATGCCCTAGCATAATGTTTACTTTAATGGCTAATTATAATGGATATCAAACTCTGAAAATGTTTTTCCTGATTTTTTTTTTTTTTTTAACCTCAGGATAGGCCATCTTGTCTGCAGTGAGTTGGAGAGGTTTAGGGTTAGAAGGATGGACTTAGAAGCTAGACTTCTTGGTACTAAATTCTGGATGTGCCACTTATAGCTGGCAACCGTGGAAAATTATATCAAATAACCTTGGGCAAATTATATCTCTCTGTGCCTCAGCTTCCTCATTTGCTCTATCCCTATAACCATTTTTCATAGGGTTGATACATTAATAACTGTGAGGCCCTTAGAGAAAAAAGTGATAGCTTCTGTCATTTATTATTGCCCAGCCTGGACACAGAGGTAAAGATTGCATGAACTTCAACGTCCTTCCAAGTTCTTAGCTTTTCCATGCTCATCTTCTGTCAAAGTAAATGATGTTGTAATTCTAGTGCTAAATTAAGACTAGGTCTCCTTGGATTTTCCCAGAGGATCTCTTGGGCTTTGAATCTGTTTTAACTTTTTTTCCCACTACTCTACAAGCTCCTCCTGAAGCTTCTGCCTCCTCCTTCGTATAATAGATGATTTCAGTACTTAGCACAGAGAAAATATAAACTAAATACTGTGACTGCTCTGATTCCTTCATCTGAATACCTTCTTTATAGCTGTTTTTTGATCCTGGCTTAAGGTTCAGAAGAAAAATCTCCAATATATTGGACTATTCTTTCTTCTGGAAAATATTTACTTCTACATGTATCACTCCTTCAACATATTCACTCTCTCATCTGTTACCCAAGATTAACTGACTAATCCCTCTTTTTCGTCAATGGCTGATTTTGCTCTAACTGAGGACATATAACTCCCATTTCAGTTCAGATTCCAATACATTATTCTCCCTCCCAATGTAACCTATCAAACTTTCTATTTCATCATTTCCCTTTAATGTGTAAAGTCTTTTCAGGTCAAGTCAACTTTTTATTTTATCCTACTATCTACTCTTTTTGGCTTTTTCTTAGGGTAGTCCCATTACAAAACACTCTTTATAACCTCCTAGTACGTACTTTCAATACTTTCCCAATACTTTGTTTTTTTCTGGCAGCCCTTACATGAAGCCTACTCAGACCAACATCACTATAACATTTTTTTGTATTCTGAAGTCTCTCATCCTTTGTTTGCTATGAATTTTTATTTCAAGATTCTACTGGGAATCATATGGATATAAATACTTATTGAATGAATGAGAACCAATGATAAAGAATAACCAGAAAAAGAGTTTATTCATCAAGTCTCTGGAGAGACAAAACCCTTTTCCTCTGTATTCCACAGGGACTCCAGCAAAGCAGTTTCTGTTGATGTGCTCTTCAAGCATTTCCTTCATCTGTGACAGTGGAAATAAAAGAAATTAAGATGGACTTGAGTTTTCTCAGCAGTGAATATTCCTTCCTTAGATCTGGGTAGCACAGTGCTTAATGACAACCAGTTAGTACAGTAGAAAATGAGATTCATTACAGATAACTACCCAATAAGCTTGACAGCACACAACAACAAGAACAACAGCAAGCAGTCCTACGAACTGTCTGCGGTTTGACAGTCAGTGGCCCTCTCCCAATAAATTTATTTTTCTTTAGTAATATGCGGTATGAGCAATAGGAAGTCTATGAAAAATATTTAGTCAGAATTTTATCAGTGATGCCACTAGGTGTCACTCAGTGTGGTAACTTGTGGTGTCACTGTCCCCATCCCCATAGATCTCCTCCTGTACCAGGCCATACAGAATGATTAGTAATGTTTATAATCACTTTTAACATAAAAAAATACATGATAAACATACTTTCAAATTGCTTAAACATAACATTTCTTAGATTATATGAATATTAAGAACAAATTTGTTTTGTGAAATCTTTCTATATTGAATTATAACATTATTAGTTACAACATTATTCGTAACTGAGTGGAAACCTTTTTTGATTTTTCTCCTTTTCCTTTAATTACTACTTAATTCTTAAAAAAGTTATTGATATAGGTTCACAAATAGTAATTATCACTAGAAAATTTGACAAAATCAAAAGCACCAACAGCACAAAATCAACAGCACATGATTATAGCAGTGCAGGGGAAACCACGTGATTCGAAGCATCATTGTAATTGAGTAATAATAGTAGTTTTGACTGGGTCTCTTAGAAGTTTCAAAAGTAAATTAGCATAGAGTTTTAGTCTTGTAGGTATACTGATTCATGTAAACTAGGCTTACAAAAAATGTTTTTGTTATAACTACAGAGATTTGTTTTTAATAAAAAATAATAATTTCTGCTGAAACACTGCACAAACATTTCAGGACAGTTATTTTGGTATCACTCCCTCTGGCAGGCAGTGTCACCTGGTGCCTTCTGGACCGCCTTCAAACCCCCTAGTGACACCACTGATTCTATAGAGGAGGTGATTTGGAGGACAAGCCAAAGGGGTTCTCACTGCAGTGAGAAAGAATGCTAATTGCTTACCTTTGCTGCAAGGAGCATTGTACTCAGCAATTGCAAACTCATCTGAAAAAGAAAACAACAAAGCACAACAAAAATAACAACAAAAACAAAACAACCAAAAGGCATTATGTGAAGGGAGAGAGAAAGCAAACATCTGTGGGATATAGGTCGGTGAAGGGAACTTTATTGTAGGAAGAACTGCATCCTCTGGGAAATGCGGCATTATTTATTTGCTTGCTTGCTTGCTGCCTTGTATTGTTACCTTTTAAATATGATCTGTTTCCCTTTAGCCTAAACTCCTCTCCTCCGCCATGACTATAGGTCTATTAGGGAAGTAATAAGCTACAACTCAGGTTGAGAACAGGCTCAGAATGCAATTCTTCAATCAGGACAGCCTCCCCTCTGCTGTGCCCTCAGGCAAGCCCCTCAGGTCCTTGGCCTCTCAGCCTTTAGCCTAAATTTTGTAGGTAGAATAGTTCTGATGTTATACTTTTAAAAAACTCACATTGTCCTATAGACGTTTTGTATTAGTAGTTGATACGTTTATGCGTTAGTAGTTTCTACAATGTGTGTATAGAAGCCAAAGAAAGGAGAACCTTTGTGAAGGCTGAAGAGCCTTTATGAAGGCTGAAGAAACTTCTTGACTTTATGAGAACAAAATGAATTGATAAGAACATTTAATCATACATCATTATTTGTTTGGTCCAAATCAATTTGTTTTGTCATAAATCATCTGAATGTGTTTATCAGATCTAAATTTCTCTGATCAGGAATTTAGTTTCCATGTGAAAGTCTCTCACTCACCTGTCTCATAGTAATCATAGACTTTCACTATGGCTGGTTTTAGATCTTTTACTGGGACGTCCTGCAGAACCATGAAGGACAAGCTCAATGTCTGATTTGTCACCTAGAAAGAAAAAGGGAATTAAATGACTTTCCAGGGGCCTTTCTTTACTGTTCTTTGGATAAGTTTAAGTATTCAGCCATTTTTGGGATTTTTTTTTTTCCAAATACAAACTAATAGCACACTGCAAGAGTCCTTAAATTGTGCAGAAAGCTCTTAGAGTACAGGGATGAGAAATTCCTCAAATTGTTTCTTAAATCACTAAAAGAACTTGTATGCCCCGTGAATGCCACCAGTGCGTACCTGTTCATAGGGGATGAATAACATGAATAACATGGGTGACTAGCTGTGTCCATTTTTGAATATCCTGATGTACAGTTTCACTCCTCTGTCTTATAAAAATAATGCTAACTCATTGCTGTCTTAACTCTCATAAAATTTGTAAACTATAATATCCATCAATATAGAAGTGAATGAACTATGGTATAACACATAACAATAAAATCATATCGGTTTATTGATGGGACTAGTGTCATTATTTTATGGTCAAGGTCCTTGTTCACATTGACAGAATTTTCCTCTTTTTATATGAATGTGTTATGGTGATGTTGATATAATTATTGTCTAATTTTCAGATGGCTTCCTCAGAGAGATTATTATCTATGTTTTTTAAAACTAGACTGGCAGGGCTCCCACCTTATCCAGGTAAATCAAGACATGGTTGTTGCTGACTTCTGTCCGGCTCACATGGCTAGCTCTTTCAAGCTGAAAAAAATTAAGAAGTCACAAATGTTAATAAATAGATGTAACCGTTGGAGGACCCAGGGAGAAAAGAGTTTTTATTACCAAAATTAGCTTGAGCATGGGATTTTTTTCCAAAGTTTCTTGTAAATAAAGACAATAATATGTACAATTTAAAATGAAAGATAATTTGAATTAGTATGACACATAGCCTATGTATAAAGTTTATTTATCTGAAGAAAAGGGAACTAAATACCCTACACTTGGGAATAAGTCATATTTTAAAATTTGATTTGCATTCTATTCCTTTATAAATGAGGTTTTCTTTTTTTCCTTGCTGTAACTTATTTTCTGTGAACTTCGGTAAAATTTATAGTTTGTCAATTTGTTATTTTCTTATTTGGCTTTTCATTGGTTCAAGTGTATAAGCTTTATTTTCTTAATTAGATTATAAGTTCTATGGAAGTAGGAACCTACTGACGTTTTCTTCTACTAGTTATCATGGCTCCTAACAGAGTGTGATGTAAGCAGTGGGTACCCATATAAACATGCTAAATTAAAGTTCTGAATTCGAAAAAAGTATAACTCTTTGATAGAGGCTGATTCAGTACTATTTTACTATTAGCATTTTCTTAGTCTGAGGATACACTAAACATTAAATAAGATATCATTGCCTGGGCTTATAGTAAACCTACCATTTTTACTGTTGGTTTTAGGGGAATGAAACCAGATACCATCTTCACATCAGCAATCACCATGTTGGAGACAGAGCGGCTTCCTGTGTAACTGGAGATCCAAAGAAGGAAGGCATTAGGATTTTCTGTGTTATTAAAACACTCTCTTTTGCAATGTTCACAGGAAGTACCCAACAGCTTCGAAAGCTGCATGAAACTCTTCCTTAATATCCCACCCTAATGACTGGGAGGACTGGCTGTGCATCCGAGTTGTCAAGGCTCTTTTTAGAGCTACAGAGACCAGGCCTCACTCTGGACCTGTTGAACCAGAAGTTCAAGTATGTGGACCTTGAGGATCTGTGTTTTAAGAAAGCTTTATAAGTGATGCATAGCCTGGGCCTGAGACTTTATTTATATAGACTAATCTATGCTACTGCCTCAGAAACCCAAGGAGGGGTCGCTATGAGTCAGGGCTGACTCGACGGCAAATAACAACAACAACAACAATCTATGCCAGTTATTTGTTGTATACATTTCATCTTGAGGTTTTTCTGAACTATTATCTCCAACAAGTTATAATATCCTCTGTGGATAGATACCTTTTTTTTTTTGGTAAGCCAAGTAACTACTTCAATATTGCTATAAATACTTGTGTTTTGCCTGAAATATTATTTTATATATAATCTGATATTTATTTATTGCCAGAAGGAATCCTAACTATAGTCCCTCCTTCCTTCTATTCAAGCTTTTCAAGAATTCTCCATTTTTATCTTAGGTTGAGAATACGATAGGATTTTATAACATTAGAAGGAATTCAGATTGGAGATATGGGATAATGTTCTTTATTTAGTTATTATTCAGGGGAATTATTAATAGTGAGGATGGGCAATGATAGATTTTCAAGAATGGATATTTCTTGATGAATTTCTCATCATTGAGAAATTTGTCAACTAAGACAGAACGCTGCATTTTAAATAAATGTAATGCAAACATTTGTTGTCACAATGCTCTACTAACTGAGAGATTCTGATAAGTAGATTGGCTGTTATTCTCAGAAATAAATGATACAGTCAGAAGGTTCTACCTGACATTCAGTGAGATCTGGAAGCTGGTATGAGCTTTGGGTCCATCACAAGTTTGGGGCACAGTGTGCACCCCCAAGGCAAATGGAAACTCTTCCTTCTCTGGGTGAACATTGTATCTCAAGGATGTCTGTGGAACATCAAAAACAAAACAAAAGTGTTTTTCTCCCTTCCCCAGCATTCTTCTCAACTTCTTCAATTCTAATTTGCCCTATCACTTGCTCAGTTAGGACTTTCCAGAAGGGTTATTGTGAACCCTCTGCCCCATCTCTCCGAATAGTCTCACCTGGAGGTAGACACATCTGTCTCCTTTCACTTTTGCAGTGTATTCACCAGGCACCTCTGGCAATGAGACCTGCTGTAGTAATAGCTGATTGTTGTTATCCACTTGGAAGTTTGTGGAAAAGGTCCGTGAATCCTGAATGGTCACCTGTGCATCTTTCCCAGTCCTGGAGAAAGTGGCTGCTCCGTACCTGGACAGGGCATAGAGAGCCACTACTGTGTCCTGAAGGAGATGAGGGAGAGAACCTGCTCAGATATGATAAGCCTTTTTCCCAAAGTCCCATGTTAGCTACCACAAAGAAGCTTTTGACATCCTTCTTCCCTTGCTACTTAAATTATGAAGTTCTAATATTAAAACTGATTATAATCTTTAGATAGATGCTAGTTTTGTAACAGGAGCTCTGGTAGCGTAGTGCCTAAGGCACTTGACTGCTAACCAGAAGGCTGGCAGTTCAAACCCACCAGCCACTCCTCGGAAGGAAGGACGGGCAATCTACTTCTGTAGTGATATTGCCTTGGAAACCCAAGGAGGGGTCACTAGAAGTCGGATCCAACTCGACAGCACATAACAACAAGTTTTGTAACATTTACGTATTATTTTGTTTCTCAGAAAATTGATCCTCTTTTTTCTACAAATATGGAGGGATACGTAATGTGGGGAATATATGTGAATGGGGTTATTTCCTGGCATTAGCTCTTTGCCTCTGATGTCTTATTTAACATCTATGCCACTACTCAACCAAATTCAATCTGACTCCCCAAATTAAACTCTGCTCTGCTGCTGAGGTCAACGCTTTGAGAGAAACAAAGGTCCTTAACAGTCATGACCAAGGTCATGCTTCAGTTTCTCCAAAGGAAATAAAATATGAATAACTAATTGTCTTCTGGATTTATTGATACTTTTTTGTGGCTTTTTCTTTTCTTTTTTTAAAAACTTATTGCAGTATATGCTCAGTGGTTCCCCCTGGTATGTCATATTCTCAATTCTCATCAACACTGAGCTGACATCTTTTAAATAATAGATTTTTAAGAGATAAATCATAGGTATTTTGACAAAATTAATTTTGTTTTTTTTTCCATTCAAATGGAAAACAAAATAAAATACAAGGTGAAAATAATAGGGTACCTACTTGCCACATTTTCTTTCTCTTTTAGGATATACACACTTATACCTAAATTATCTTTAATTTAGGTAAAAATTTCTGTACATTCTGTTCATTGAATGATTTTCTAGATACATTGAATGATTTTCTAGGCTCAGGAGGTGGGATGAATAAAAATATCTTATGCTCCTGATAAACAAATGATTGTAGTAAGGACAGGGAAAGCATGAAATGTGTTAGCTTCAAAAGAAGCTATCTAAATAGAATCCAAGAATAGAGAGATTTTCAAGGAGAGATGGTTGGGTTTGGAGTAGAGTTCCTGGGAACAGTTTGGAAAGGACTCTTAGAACTTCCAAAAGAATTGTAGATTTTCTTGTCTGTCCTGTTGAGGCCATTGATCATAGGTCTTGGTGCTCTCCTACTACTTTAGGGAGGTACACTAGTTGGAAATAGGAAACTATGTTAATACCACAGGGATGGGGCCAGAATTTAAGGCACTTTTATTTTAGTTCTCTCTGACTTTCATTTACCCTTATTTGACTAGTATTCAGAGAATACTAGAATACTCTTTCCCATTTCAAGTTATTCTCATCTTCATTTTTTCTTCTTGCTATGTGGTTAGATCTTAAAACTTTTGTTACCTGAAACTGAGGTAAAAGGTTCTAGTAAGCCACAGACCTGGGTGGAGGAGAAGCCGCCATAGGAATTCTGTTGCTTTGTGATCCACTTCACTATGCGCGTTGCAGCAGTCAGTTCCTCTGGGGTTGGGGCAGGCTGGGCAGTGAGTTGAGCAAGGAGCACATAGGCTGTCATCTCTACCTCAGCAGAGGGAGCCTGGGGTTGGTAAAAAGGCGTCACTGGTGCCCTGGGTTTCTGAGGTCGTGCCCAGTGGAGAGACTCATCTGCAGGTGAGAAAAAAGGATTTACAAGTCATTACATATGCATATTTACTTTAAGGTGAGAGTAGAAAGAGCTGAAAGGAGGGCTGCTTTCCAATTCTAATTGCTCAAACCTTATACAGATGCTTTTCTTCTATGTAAATCTTAAGCTGTGTTCATCAGGGCTAAAGTAGGTAAAGGAGCTCTGGTAAGGAGTCCCCGGGTAGTGCAAATTTTGGTTGCTAACTGAAAGGTTGGAGGTTCAAGTCCACCCAAAGGCTCTTGGAAGAAAGAAAGGCTTGGAGATCCACTTCCAAAAAATAGCCATTGAGAACACTATGGAGAACAGTTCGTTTTTGACATGGTATCACCACAAGTTAGAATCGACTCAACAGGAACTGGTTTTAATGTTGCTATGGTCAGAAGCCTAGAGGTATCTTTGTTTTCAAATGGTTGCTATAGTTGAATTGGTGGGAGAGAGAGATGGTGGAGGATGTTCTCTCACTAGTTGTGGGCATTTCCTATTTCTTATGTTATGTAGACCTTGTCTGGGGTTTGCTTTGTTTCCTACAAACCTTGTCCTCAGATGTTTCTTATAAGGATCACAGACTGCATTAGCTAACAGATGTTCACACTCATTAGACTGGAAAAAAATACAGTAATTGTTAAAATGCCAAAGGCTCATAAGGACGTGAAACAATGAGAATGGAAAGACACAGCTGTGGGAAGTAAATTCTCTTTGGAGACCAGTTTGCCAATATTCAGCAAAGGTGATGATGTGCTTAGCCTCCTAAACAGCAATTACACTTCTGGAAGTAAAACTCAGAGATACTCAAAGATGTGTACCAGAGACATGCATACAAGCATTCATTGTAGAGTTGTTTGTAACAGCAAAAAATTAGAAACAATTCTCTCCATGAGGAGATAATTTATGTATAAATTATGTTGTATAGTAGTGAAAAAAATGAACTGGAGTTGCAGGCATTTGTATAGGAGACTTTCAAGAGCATAGTGTTGAACTTAAAAAAAAAGGCAGGCAAACAAGAAACCAAAATGCAGAAGTACCCCAAACTATGATGCTGCTCATGTAAAGATGAATAACATAAAAATTCTGAATATTAATTAAAAACTCAAAAACTCACTGCTGTCGAATCTGATCTGACTCATAGCGACCCCTCCTTGGGTTTCTGAGGCGGTATCACTATGGAACTAGATTGCCCAACCTTCCTTCCGAGGAGAGGCTGGTGGGTTTGAACCGCCAGCCTTCTGATTAGCAGTCAAATGCCTCAGGCACTATGCCATCAGAGCTCCTGAATATTATTT